GTACCCTACCCTGCCCGACATCTACGAGATAGCTGACGAGTACGGTACCCAAGCCAAGCACATGTCAACGCTAGTACAACGACAGCCTTATGTTAGTCCTCTCGGAACTCGAAAACAAAAACAATTGGACACAAACGAAGCTCCGCTTGCCGCCTCAAACTCCCCATGCTACCTACACTCTCCTCTGCTTCCTGTCACACCCACCACACCCCAAAGCAACGGCAACCTCGGAGACTAACGAATGACACTCAACTGTAATCCCCAATATCTCGCCGAGATATGGCCTGTGCGCCTACTTCGTATTGCTGATCATGAGGCTCCCCATCGGTCGCGCAAGTTGGGGGCCAAAAAACCGCTCACTAAATACCTAGAGGTAAGCAAATAGTGTCCGCTGGTGCCCGTTGGGCTTACCATCGGTCGGGTGTGAAACATGACTCCGTCAACCGAAGTCCGAGATCCCAAGGCGGTTTTAGACTGTATACATCCAAGACCCCTTTTGAGAGAGACAGCTTTCCATGCGGCTTACATTTCTTCTTTCTTATCTCCGTGACACTCCGCCTCGATAACCCTCTTCCTTCCCATTTAATCATGCTCGTTTAACACTGATACAGATCCATAGAACCAGCGCCCATTCCAAAAAAACAAAACCTACTACCATCTCACCTCACCCTCATCCCTCTCACTCCAGTCCATCACGACACTAATGCGTCAAACCCTCACTTCCCCTTTCCAACCATCCCTTCCTCCTCCAATAAATCCTTCCCCGCAAACCCAACCCTCATCCCGCCCAAATCAAACACAACAAACTGCGCCTTGAGCAGCACATCCCCAAAGACACTAAACCCAATATCCTCACTGCTCTGCATCCCGCCGTAGCACCAAGTGGCGTTGGCCTCGCCGTAATTCATGTATCGCCCGGGGACGGTGCCTTTGTAGTAGAACCCGTCTTCTTTCATTCCATTCCCCTCCCCTTGTGGCTCTGGGTCCAACTCCATCTTGGGCTCGGCCTTGTTCGAATTAGAGGATACCGTGATGTTGGTCTCGGGTGCGGAACCAAGGAAAAAAGACCAGTCAGGGAGAGAATCGGTGTAAGTGCAGGGGAAAAGGTAGCCGGCCCAGTCAGAGGAATAGGAAGTGCGAGGGATGGTGGAGTAGTAATCGGATACTATGCGGTCGGGGAGGAGGAGGAGAAGGGTGATGTCGGTGTCGGTTATGGTGGTGAAGGGGTAGGAGATTCGTTAGTTGGTGGTGTGGCTGTTGGTGGCACGTCGTGTGCGGGGGATGGCGGTTGAGTTCGTGATTTCGAGGAGGTTGTTTTGGTCTTGGTTCTTGGTTTGCGCGTCTTGGGTTGATGAAGTCGTGGCAGGGCTCGAGGCCATGGGTTGGTCTGGTTGGATGGTGGTTGACTCCTGCTCACTGTCCCCAGGGGCACTCTCCTCGGTTTGAGCAGCCTCTATCACCTCAGACTCCTCGTCCTCCGGCTTAACCTCATCCACTTAAACATCCTCTTCTGCCTTCATCTCTCCCTCTACCTCCTCGTTATCATTCCCAACCAAATACCCCCCAACCTCAAACTCCCAAAAGATGCCATCCTCCTTAACATCCACATACCTCACTTCGCCCTTGCACTCCGTCTCATTGATAACCCCAAACCCATAGCTTCCCTCGGCATTATCCCTCAAATTTGCCGTAAACACCGGCTCCGCCAATTGCTCCCTGACATTATCCATAAACGTCAAGATCTTGATCCCCGTCTTATCCTCCACATCCTTGTACATGCTCTCGATAACCGTGTTCCCCGCCGACATACCCAGCCCCATAATCCCGCTGACGTACGGGTCCGTGGTGAAGTCCCACGAGATGGAGGTGGCGGATTGCACGACTTGCGCGGGGAAGGAGAGCACGTCGTCGATGGAGACCCGGTCTTGGTAGACGATGCCGTGGGCGCCGGAGCCGTGGGGGTAGGTGATGCGCCAGTTGAGGTCGGGGATCAGGGCCGAGGTGTTGGATGTTTGTGGGTCGTAGATAGTGTGGCCGCGGGTTTGGTAGCGGGGGCTGTCGGTTGAGACTACCCAGCTTTTTAGTTTGAGTAGTGTTAGTTATGTCCTGATTCTTGACAGCTGGAGAAGGAAGAGAAAAGGTAGACTTGCAAGTCAGCAGAACCAGTGTCAATGTTCATCCACACCGTCTGGGGAGGTGTGCCAATCTCAACGGGTGAGATGTACTCGTAGTTGCCAGGGGGAGGGATGGCTGCGACTGTGGCCGTGATGTCGCCTCCTGTTGACAAGCTTGTTAGTTCTGCTTCTATGTCATGGTCAATATCAAATTACATACTCTTCTCAAGCTGCTCCCGGTATTCACGAAAAGCCGGATTCAGTTTCACACCCTTCTTGATCCTCGGCGAAGGCTCAACGCCGTACTTGGCGTAGGCATGGATCAGAGCCGATAAACCATTGCGTTGCGCGGTGCTTCGTTTTTCAAGACGAGGGTTCTTGACTTGGCGGATGGTGAAGGTTTTTCCTTCCTCCTTGCCCTCTTTGCTATTATCCTGGCCTCCTCTCTTTCTCAATAGTGACCTGTGCGTGCTGTGATTCGGCCACAGTGCTTCACTGGTATCAGCTGGAACCCTGATTTGATGGTGTTTCGCTCCAACATCCCTGGCGAGATGATGTTTGTGGTGATGTATGTGTCTAGCAGGATGGGCGAGTATCGTTGATGCCTGCATCAGCAGAAGCAGAGCACCCAAAAAGGCGATGTTTTGTGCGTAGAGCATTGTGTTTACCGGGGCACGATACGGAGGCTCAATGGAACAGGTTGGAAAACAAACTGAAGAAATTTCCCGGGGACTGAGCGGTAGAAATACCCGTTCAGTCCCTGGTGGTTTTCCGTTCCACGCCATCATAGCTCTTCAGACTCACCGCGAGTGAGGCATGGTGTCGAGGTATGTGAGTTCCAACACGTTGGCCAGCCAATATCACCAGACTGGAATGCTGCCCCCTTTTTACCGTGGTTCAAGTACCTGTTAGTGATCTGAGACATTGCTGTCTGGGAAGCGAATGCCATGGTAAACTAATGTTAGTAACGACGCCGCCCAGCACCTGGTCAAGGGAGGACTCTGGAAGCATGTGCCAAGCTGATATGTCCATTGGCGGATTTGCTGCAGAGAGTATTGAAGTCTTCGGCGCCATCAAGGAACAGGAACTCGTTTCCCTTATATGGCTTGTAGATGGTCTGTTACGCCTGTGTCTTTTCGATACGGATCGTCCCCTATGCGACTCATCGGAATGGACCAAGAAATCCGACAGTAGCCTCTCCTCGGCGTCAGAAAGAGCCGGGATTGCTTTTCATTTTGGGTTTTAGAACTGCCCCTCCCTAGCAAGTCCAGATCCGAGATCGTGGCTCAGTTCACGTTCGAACCGCACCAACGGTCCAACGGTCCAACAGGCGGACGATGAGGTAGGAAGCGTGGCGCAATCACAGGGAGTGTCGAGTATCGGTCGCCCATTGCCGCGCAATCGTTGAAAGCTGGAATAAAACAGCCCTCTTCAATGTTGAACCAGCGGAAGATGGCATGATGATAATCATTTTCGTCGTTTTCTTGTGGAAGGTTGAGTTACTGAGGGAAGTGTTTTGTTTTGGTGACGATGTTGTTGATTGCCAGCGGGAAGTCTCCTCCACACCACGACATCATCGTGGCGGGTCCACCCACGGCATCCACTCAAACACCCAATCGTACAGGAAAACCACAAAGCCAAAAAAGTGCAAAAAAGATTGCTAGAAGGGCTCAGCCAGGGTTCGAACCTGGGACCACTTGCACCCAAAGCAAGTATGCTACCACTACACCACAGAGCCGCCCTTGAAGCTGTTGTTGAATGGTTTGGCCAGATTATGAAGTTATATTGGGCAAAACCATGGGTGAAGTGATGAGTCATGCCGACGCCTGCAACTCTGACTTTTTGACTTCGAACTTCGAAGTAACAACAACCTGATCAGCGCAACGCCTGTCCTGCAAACTGACATTCGCATTAAAATGATTTAGCTTCAGTTTCATATTTTCTTCAAAAATTTAGCCACCTTTTCTCCTAGATCCCCGCTGTAACAACATCCGAGCCCACATGCATGCTACCTAATCAGACGTCTCCCCGTCCTCCACCGCTCCAGCAGTGGCATAACAGCAATCCTTCGACAAGGAAAAAGGCGTATAGTATGTGTAAAGAAGCTCATCTTCATGCGATGACCGTCGAATGATATGGCCAAGGGAAGAGGCCAAAAGATAACTAAACCCCATGCCAAGAACCCGCCAGTCATCAATAAATCAGCTCTTCATCTGCCGCAAGGTAGCAATTTCTCTCTTACTTTTCCCCAAAACACCGACGGGGTCTTGACAGCCCTAGTCTAGTTTCTTTTCAGCATCTCCAATGGTTTTTCTCGCACCTCCAGCTTCCGACGCGTATCGTATAGCGCACAATTGGAACGGAACGACATCCATACATACCAAGGTAGTCTCAATGTTTCTCTGGACATCGAATGATCACCGGCGCACCCCTCTACTTGGCGCGGCGGTTATTGAACCATGAGAAATGGCATAAATACGACGTTGTTCTCCCACACAACCTCATATTTTCTCCTTTGCGGTTTCATGGCCCGAGGACCATTTGACGGAGGCGACTGAAGAAACATCACGATACTGGCTGCTGATAACAACCCGACAAGATGGGCGCCCCACTCCAACCCCCAGTCATGGTCCTTCAGGAGTACCCCCTGGTAGCGTCCCTGGGAATAGGTGCCTTGACGGGCATCTTTTTCTACATTTTGTTCTGGCATTGGACTCATCCTTTGCGAAAGTACCCGGGGCCTTTTCTGGCGAGTAAGTTTGCTGCCTCCGGGTGCTCCTCCCGGATGAGAGAAAGTGGAAGCTAATGAATTTGAATCACACAGAATTCACCAACATCTACCGTCTCTACAGAACCGTACGCGGGAACTACTACAATGACCTGGTAGAAATGCACAGAAAGTACGGACCAGTTGTTCGTACAGCGCCGAATGTGCTTGACATCGATTACCCGGAGATGATCAAGACTGTTTTCAACATCAAAGGGGATTGGGCGAAGGTCAGCAAACTTCCATCAGCCACTCCCCTGATTTTCCACTCACATCCAGTCTTGCTCACTGCCACACTGCCGAATAGACAGAATTCTACCTCTCCTCCAGCGTCCTCGTCAACGGCCACCCGTCTACAACCTCTTCTCCGAGCTCGACAAGGCCAAACACGCCGAAGAAAAGAAGCTCGTCTCCAAGTTATACTTCCCCAACGCCGTCTTGTCTCTGGAACCACACATGGACACAGCCATCACGCAGCTCTGCAGCGAGCTCGAAACCCGCTTCATCGATACCAAAGATCACAACGACGAGCCAAAAGAAGGCAAAGTCTTGGACCTAGGCGACTGGATCTCCCTCTACGCATGGGACGTTTTGGGCACAGTAACCTTCTCCCGTCCCTTCGGGTATATGTCTTCTGGTCGTGACTTCGACGGCTCCATCGCGCGGGCCCAAGACGCCATGTTCTATTTCGCCTGGGTCGGGTGCCTGCCCTGGCTTGATTACGTGTTTGACAAGAACCCTTTCCCGTTTATCAGTAACTTGCTAGGTCAGCCGGGGTTTAGCAAGACGAACTCTGCCCTTTCGGTGCAGAGGTTGATAGACCGGTACGCTGGTAAGGATGCCGAGTTCCTGGATACCAGCACGCCGGATTATTTGCAGAAATTCATGGCTATTAAGCAAAAAGACAAATCGGGGAAGATAAGGGATGAGAATATCGTGGGTTGGTTGATGATTAATACCCTTGCGGGAGCGGATACGACGGCTATTGCGATCAAGACTGCGTTGTACCATTGTGCGAAACAGCCGAGGGTTTGGAGGCGGTTGCAGAGGGAACTTCAGGTTGCTGAGCGCGGTTACGGCCCATGGGCAGAGACAGCAAAAGCAAGGACACCGCCGATCTCGTACAAAACCGCCCGCGCAATCCCCTACCTAGAAGCCATCGTGCGCGAATCGCTGCGCATCTTACCGGGCATTGCGTTACCTTTGGAGCGGTATGTTCCTCCCAGTGGGGTTCATTTGCCCACCCGCGGCACCGAAAAGACGAAAGACTTTATCCCAGGCAACCAAGGCTGCATCCTCTCCTTCACGCCTTACACGCTCAACAGGCACGAAGCAGTTTTTGGTTCGGACTCTGACCAATTCCGGCCTGAACGGTGGTTGCGAGACGAAAACAACAGAGAAAGCGAGGAAGACTTCAGGGAGAGACTCCAGAAAATGAATAACACTGATTTGAGCTTTGGTGGTGGGAGCAGAGTCTGTTTGGGAAAACACATGGGGTTGATGCAGGCGTACAAGGTGCTGGGGACGTTGGCGGCGAGATATGAGCTGGATTGGGTTGGTGAGGATGGACAAGATGAATGGAAGGTGGTGCAGAGTTGGTTTCCTAGGCAGGAGGGGATCAAAGTAAGGATGAGGTGGTGCCTGCCTAAAGGTAGATAGAGGTATCTTCCAACTACCACTCGGTGTGGAAAGAACGATAGTCGAAGGAAGAATGCCGGTAGACTTCCTGAACAGGAAAGAAAGAGCCGAGGCCAGGCTTCCGGGGAGAGAAACTGCGGACTACCTACCTTACATGCATGACCCAGTAGGTATGTGTGCTTTCCCACGTGTACATGTATTATTTCAGTCAGAGAAGGATTATTGCAGTCCGTACAAATATCGATGTGCTTAGGGCAGCAACAACTTCTGCAAGAGCAGCCGGAAATTATTGAGCTTTGCAAAAACTACATGCCAGCTGAGGTGCTTTGAACCACATCGCAACTTCTTCTACCTGATCCAGCCGAGAACAAGTGCATCAAAAAGATGCCCTTATTAACTCAAATCTCCGCTGCGTCTTCGGTTGAGTTTTTCCTCTCCTCCCCTTTTCTTCTGTAGTATCATTATCGCTCTCTCACGACCACCGCCACGGCACTCACAATGACCAGCCTAAAGGACCTTAATGGTTGGGACTGTCCGTTCACCCTACTCGCCCAGCAGGACAGCATCAAATGGTACCAGAAACCCAAGCTCCGTGTCCTGTGCCTTGTCTTGGTGTTTGCTGCCTTCACAGCACAGTGATCTTCACGCCCACTGGGCGATTCGATTGGAGGTGTTGGGCCGCGTTTACGCTACGGGCAACACATGATTTATACTGGCAATAGGCCTCGGGTTGCCCTCGGGTTAATGGTCTTTTGGTGGACATTTAGGGCACTGCTCTTATCTTTGTACGCGAGATTCACCGATGTGGCACGTCTCATGCCCTACGGGAGGCGGAAGTAGACGTTAAAAATAACAACAACAACAAAAGCACAGTGATCTTCTGGTTACGACTTGGCCATAATGAACAGTGTCCAGGAGCTTGAATCCTAGCAGAAGTGTATGTACCTTATTGATCTATTACCCCAAGAAATCTAATAATTGTTAGGGGTTATGGGACGTGTGAATCTTGATACATCGACTAACCACATTGCCTTTTGTTTACAGTCTTTGGGTATCCGGTTAGGAGCCGCTTAGGCATTATCACGGCCATGTACTCCCTGGGCGCCCTCTGTTCGGTCCCCTTCGTCCCTTTCCTCAGCAACCGCTACGGCCGCCGCAAGTATACATAGTGTGGACCATTGCCAGCTCGCGGGCGGAGAGAGGTTCGCGGAATGCGGCGATCCCAGTCTTGGTATTCATGTTCTTGTATACCCCGTAAGTTCCATTCTTCGTATCAATACCTAGAAATACCCTGTTACTCCAATCAGGAAACTGACGTTATAATATACTTGTACAGTTTCTACGCTTTAGGCTGGGGCACCCTCTCCTACCCCTACCTATCCGAACTTTTCCCCTATTACCAACGCTCTCAAGGTATCGCTGTTGAACACCTCACTAACCGAATCGCCCTGTTCTCCAATAACTATGTCAACCCCATCGCCCTTGACAAGATTGGATGGCGGTATTACATAGTCTACTGCGTATGGATTGCTGTGGAAGTGCTGATCGTGTACTTTTTGTTCCTAGAAACCCGGAACCGGACGCTGGAAGAGCTAGCGTTTCTGTGGGAGGGCGATGGGGTATGGAACAGGGTGAGGGAGAGAATGGACACTGTAATGGCAATCCAACTGCACGAGCTGGGATCCAGCATAAGGGAGGAGGAAGTGGAAGAGCCTAGAGGTACTGAGAGGGATGATGATGATGCTTCTCACTAATCCTAAGACTCCGTCGACGCAGCATTCGCTACTTAGCATCGCTAATTAGCATAGCTACTTATTATCGCCTTTTCCTAATATTACTGCTTTCATCATGTTACCCACTATCACTACCGCCGCCGCCAACGCCGCCGGTCGATTCCCGAGTCCTTTGATTCCGAACTGTAGCCCGGAACAACTCGAGTCGAATGTAGTGCGTAAGGTAAGGTATCTAACGTTCAACTTTCAAAAACACGCTGCAAACTGCCTTGGCTTTTTATGTTTCAGTTGCCAATCCTATTTCCTTCCGGGAACTTCTTACAGCATCTGGATGAAGAATTACATGAACGAGACCACCTAGCTATTCCCCTTCCCAAGCAACACCAAATTCGCTACATTCATCACAGCAATCAACCCCCAAACCAGACCCGCCGCAATCGTAGTTAACCAAGAATTCGCCATTTTGACTCCTCCCTCCCCTTCGTTGCCCCTACCCATCCATCCCCTCCTTGCCGAAAACAACGGCCTCTCATCTTCCTCCTCGCCTTCCACCTGATATCTCGCCGCTCCCGGCAAAACCATCATATACCGATCCCGGCTCGTGAACCAGATCAGCGGCGCCGTGACGAACGGCAACACCACGCTCAACACCACCTGGCTCCCCTGCAACGTGGCATTCAGCCCATCCCTTCCTACGGCGGCAGCAATAATGATGGAAGGCGTGATGCTTATTAGTCTGGTGACAAGTCGACGCAACCAGGGTCGTATCTTCCACCTCAATGCTCCCTCACTGACCATCTGTCCTGCGATGGTGCAAACTATGCCTGCTGAGATGCCTGACAACAAAAGGGCGAGGGCGAAGATGGTTCCTGCGGCTGGCGATATGGATGACGAAAGCAAAGAGTGGATGGCGAAAATGTCGGCGTCGAGCGCCTCAGCGTTGTTGTACAAAGAAGCGCCGGCGACAATGAGGATGGCCGAGTTGACGAAGAGGGCAAAGATGAACAAGGAAAGGGCGAGTTCGGCGATGGAGTACTTGAGTGAGTGTTTGATGGCGGACTGGGAGGGGATGTAGTGGACTTTATCGGCGTCTATGCTGTCAACGATGGACGAGTTGGCGGACACAGGTTCGGCAGGTAGGAGATTGTGTTGTTCGTCATAGGCGCGAAGACGAGGTTGCACGATACCGGAGCCAAGAAAAAGGCTATGAGGCATGACGGTTGCTCCGAGGATGCCACATGCTTGGTAAAGGCTAGTTGTGTGTCAGTGATCTGTCTATGTCAGGAACTAGAAGCCGACATACCCCTGCTGCTCGATCACGGCGCCTGAAGGTAGATAGCCCTTGAATACTTGGCCGACGCTCGTGTTGGAGATCATCGAGAGTTGGATGCAGAAACAAACCACTACGCCCATCACCAGAATGCAGACAAAGAACTCAAAAATACGCAGGCCTCTCATGTGGCCGGTTGGGTTGTAGAAGACGAGGATGAGCATGACATCGATGATTGAAAGGGCACATCCTGCTACAAGAGGTATCTTGGGAGACAAGAGGTTGAAGGCAATAGCGGTGCCGATGACCTAGTGACCCTTATTAGTTCTTGTCTATGCCCATGAGAAAACCGATACTTGCCTCAGCGATATCTGTCGCAATAATGGCGATTTCAGCCAAAGCGTATATGGAATAGTTCAGCCATGGCGGAAGAAAGGCTCTGCATGCTGATGCAAGGTCTAGGCCGGTGACTGTGCCGAGCTTGATGGCCAGACTCTGCAGAAGGATAGCGAATAGGTTACTCAAGAGGACAATGAAGAGTAGCTGAAAGCGGTACGATGCTCCAGCAGCGATATCGGTGGCATAGTTACCAGGATCGACTGTACGCAGTATCTTGTCAGTGAACTGAGGCTCGTGGTAGGTGACAGTGACACTCACTGTATGCCACGGAGATCATGAACCCTGGACCAACGAACTGGCTAAATGTGATGACCGCATGCTTGATTTGTTCCAGACGACTCTTCTCTTGGTTGACAGGGCCAGCCAAAGTTGGAGGTTCCACTTGAGCGGTAGATGGAGGTAGGCTCGGCTGCGGGTTGGATGACGACACTGGTGATGGGTGTGTCTTGGTCAGGTCGCCGGCTCCCTCTCGCAGTATCTGAAACGAGATTCCCGTCCTACCACCGCTTCGGTTTTCTCTCTGATTGGCGACCCCGTTCAAGTCGTGATTTGTTGTTAGGTCGGCTGATAGCGGGCTAGGGCTCTGGTTGAAGCCCTGGCTCCTTCGAGGCTCGTCTGTACGCGAAGAACTCGCACACATGGTGTCTTTGATGCGCTACTTTCCAACTCAAAGTTGGTTCTGGTGCAGCTTGTGAGGTTGGCAGGTCTAAGATCTGGTAGGGCAGAAGTGAGACACGAGTGTCTTGACAACGACGGACACTAGAACTACTTGACGCCACCGTAATCGACTCGTGCCGGGGTTCGTGCTCTTGTGTCTTTGACCTCAATGATCGATGATGCACACATAGGTTCGGCGACGATTGAATTCCCTACAAATGTCAATTCGGATCAGAGAGATAACAGAAGGCACTCAAGGTGGTAGGAAACAAGTGAGGCGAGAGTAGTGTTGGGAGAAGAGCTTGGAGATTGAAGCTCCCGCGTTTCCATTCCATCCGGATAAAGGTCCGGTCGGATGACTGGTGTAACGATCAAAATGTGAGTCTCGCCCGTGCAACGGAAGGCACAAGTGTTTCTCTGAAAATTGCGGATTGCCAGAGAATGGAAAGAATGGAAGCTAGAGGTAACCGAGATACCCGAAGAGGTTCTCATTCCTTCCTTTCTCGAAGCGATGCTTACTTGTATACATTGGATCCCACGCGGAAGTCACGATGGTGACCCGCCTGAAGCAGTCGCGCACACTGCACAGCTGGTGTCCCTGTTATGCAGGTGGAAATGAATGACGAACGCCATCGACGCCCATCTTGCAAGAACGCACAGATGGCCCTTCCGCAGGGAAGGTGCTCACGGTGTCGGTTCCTGCCGAGGATTCGGCGTCCGAGTCTTCGAAATGAGCAGCCACTGCAGTGCTGAACAACCCGCTGAATCTCCTTGAAAATCGTGTTTCGGTATAATTGAACCCTGAAACCGGTGATTGCGCAGTAGTATGCCCAAGGAGGACAACGACCATTTTTTTCATTTATTCTGTCCTTCTCGAGAATCTTGGCCCCCTCCGATAACACACAAGCTCGAGGATCCACTTCGGACAGACGTGCTGTCTTTGCTATTGATTGTTACAGTCCTCCTGCAGTCTCCACCACAAGACTTGGGTCTCAACTTCATCGCTTGCTCGTTCTTCTCTTTTCAACTTTTTCTCCAAATACCCCCACGACTTTTCAACACCTTGATGGCATCCATCTGATTATCTCTACGATTGCCCAACCGTCCTGGATGAGGCAATCGGCGGCCAACTCACGGGAGCCATTGAACAGTCCGACTTTGCTGCAGTGAAGCATGGCTAACAAATGACATACACTCGCTCGCCTTACTCGATTTGAAGAAGCAACTTGATCACCGTGATGCAAAATATTCCACGGCCGCTTCACCAGTCACTGATATGGCCCGCGGCAGGCTGTCCATGTTACACTGCAGCGTCAGGGGTTGAACGGGTCAATCCCGATGCCTGTCCTCCACTCTCTTTGTTATCATCGTTGCCGAGTGGTCACCGGCCTTTTTCTTTTCTCCATGTCCTTATTCGTCTATCAGAGATGCCAGATGGCCAAGTGGAAGATGGCACACCCGACGGCAAGAAGCAGATCGTAAAGTATCATGTCTACTGAACCTCCAACCGGAATGCATCTGACAGCCAATCCCTCCTCCATTCCTTCCGTCCATTTCCATGATACCTATATCGCTGTTACCTCTCCCGGGCACATCGGAGCTTCTTCACATCGACTACCTAGGGTCCATCCATTCCATCACACCTGCATCTCGTGTTCGCACGCACCTTGTACTCCCGGGAGTGTTGGCCGTTGAGGTTTACTTTATAAAACCCATCTACTCCAAAGCAGTCGAGGCGCATACATCAAGCTTATGCCACTATCCTCCGTGTTTGTCACCAACTTACTTGAAACCGCCCTCAAGCAGGATGCCTTGGACCCTCGCTGCTCATCTAATGGACTCGACAGCATTGCCAAAAACACAACCGACTGGCTTATAAACAGGAGAGCACCACCCCCACGCGGACAATTCCTTCGCTTCCATCTTTCTTCAGAGCGAGTTCGACATCTGCCCTACAACATACCATACAAAATACGCAATAGACATCATTTTTCATCAGTATTCGCTTTACGATGGGTTGCAATTCAGGTTGCTGCGCGCCGTCCAAACGCCCTCTTTCAACTACGCCTGAGGAGGTCCCAGCGTCTTCACATGGTCGTGGAGACCATGGATCCAACACGAATGACAGCCCTACGAGTTCAGAAACTACGGCATCCTCTTCTGCAAATATCGGCTATGGAGAGTATTTCGACGACGAGAAAGGAACTGGCCAGGGAATTAGGGACCCAGGGGCACAAGAGGGGAAAGACTACACGATCAAGACGACGACGGACAACTGCCAAGACAGGTGTTGTGGTGGAGAGCCAAGCGAAAACCAGGACAGCAGTCAAACTCTACGGGAGCCAAGCAGAAAGAGTGGGAGTCGCAGGCCTGAAGTCTCTTCATCTTGTGCGGCCAGGACCGAGGCATGTTGCAGCCCACCACACCAAGAGTATGGTTCCAATTCTCACCCATCACATTCCGAAGCCTCTGAAGAACCGTGTCCAGTATTACACGGCTGTGAGGGGCATTCTCACGGCCAGAGTCACAGCCATGGCCATAACCACAGCCGGTTCCCAAATCTCGCCCGAACGTTCAGCGCCTTATCACAGAAAACTTTCAAGAAACACCATACCCACGAGTCAGAGTTTCAGACTACTGAGCCTATACCTACAAGTATACCTACAAGTATCCCTACCAATATCCCTATCAGCGATAAGGAGTTCTCAACGGCGAGTTCCAGCATAGCACCGGCTCAGTCAAGGAGCGGGCAATCGGACGGTACATGCGATCTGGAACAAGGTCTTTCTGGATACGAGCATGTTGTTCTCATTATCGAAAAGATGTGCTGCGGGCAGGAACTCCACCAAGTGGCCGCTAACATCAAGGCCATCAAAAACCTCAAAGTCAGCGTCCCACACAAACAAGTCGACTTTGACGTCAACCTGAGTCTCGCGTCGGCTGCCGATGTGATCGAACTGATTCAAAGGTCCACTACCTGGAAATGTGAGCGGGTTATCGAAGGAGCGTGTAGCCTCGACATTGTCCCTAACAATCCGACCGAGTTTGTCTCTAAACCATTGCCGATGGGAGTGTCTCAAGCATCAGCCATCGACAAGAAGATGGTCAGGATATACTACGATCCTAAAGTCGTTGGCGCCAGAGATTTGGTGCAGATTGGTTTCGGGGCTCCTTTGACGCTCGCAAAAAGCTCAGTCGACCAAAACATCGCCGCTGGCTGGAAAAACGTTCGTCATTTGTTCGGTATGACGATGCTCTCTTGGATATTGACCATTCCTGTTATTGTCTTGGCGTATCTTCCACAATCTGGAAAGCGGATGATTTGGTACGGATATGCATCACTGGCGCTGGCGTCACTTGTCCAAATACTCGTTGCCGGCCCTTTTTTACCGCGAGGCTTTAAGTCCGCTGCTCAAGTCAGGGGCCATCAACATGGAGTTCCTGGTTGTGCTCAGCACCACTACAGCATACATCTTTTCTGTGGTGTCTTTTGCCCTTCTGGTATCCGGACATCCACTGTCGACAGGGCAGTTCTTCGAGACAAGCACTCTGCTTGTGACTCTCATCATGGTCGGTCGCTTCCTTGCCGCTTACGCGCAGCACAAGGCTGTTGCCTCGGTCTCCAAGGTCAAGTCTCTCCAATCCCACACCGCCCTTCTTGTTGACGAAGACGGAGGCAGCGAGAAGGAGATTGACGCACGACTGCTTCAGTATGGGGACTACTTCAAGGTTATTCCAGGAGCTAAGATCCCCACCGACGGCATTATTGTGGAGGGTGATTCGGAGGTGGACGAGTCCATGATCACTGGCGAGTCTCGGCCGGTCGTCAAATCCGAAGGATCTGCGGTTATTTCAGGGACAGTCAACGGCTCAGGGGCGCTCCGAGTGCGCCTCACAACTGTTCCCGGCAACAACACCATCAGCATCATTATGACTATGGTGCACAAAGCAAAAGTGGCCAAGACCAAAATTGAGGGCATTGCCGATCGCGTCGCTGGTTATCTTGTTCGCGCTGTTCTCTGTTTGACAGGCATCACCCTGATCATATGGTGCATTGTTGGTGTCAAGGTACACAAACTTCGTGCTGCCGAGGCCATCGTTCAAGCGCTCACTTATGCTATCACTGTTCTCATCGTCTCTTGCCCTTGCGCCATTGGACTGGCAGTTCCAATGGTCAATACCATGGTCAGCGGCTTGGCAGGTGACAGAGGGATTCTGTTCAAGTCATTAGGTGCCGTGGAAATTGCCCGCACAACATCCCACGTCGTGCTTGACAAAACAGGCACTCTCACCAAGGGGCAACTTGACGTCCAGGATGTGCGTTTCATGGAGAGCGACTCCAATATCTCCAAGTCCTTACTACTTGGTCTGCTGCATGACATCAAACATCCAGTCGCCGCCTCAGTGTCTACCTATCTCCTCTTCATGGGAGTAACGCCTGAAGTCATCAGTCACCAAAAAGCTCTTCCAGGTAGAGGGGTCGAAGGCCACTCACCATCTGGCCAAGTACTCCGAGCTGGAAATTCACGCTGGCTGGGTCTCGAGTCCGATCCCTCTGTCCAACACATATTCTCTCAAGGCCACACCGCCTTCTGCTTCACCATCGACGGTTGCCTAGCAGCCATCTTCGGTCTCCACGACACTCTCCGTCCCGAAGCACCATCCGTCATCGCCCAACTCCGCCAACGAGGCATCACCATCCACGTCATCTCCGGCGACGACGACCTCGCCGTCCGTTCCGTCGCCCGCCAACTCGACATTCCCGAGCACAACATCCGCTCCCGCTGCAAACCCGAAGAAAAAGAAGCCTACATCAAACACCTCCTCATCCCACCACTTTCGGCCCGTACCCACTCCCTCTTCGGCATCTACCTCACTCCAAAACTTACCAGACCACCCGCCGTCCTCTTCTGCGGCGACGGCACCAACGACGCCATCGCCCTTGCCCGGGCCACCATCGGCGTGCACATGGCGGAATCCAACGGGCAAGCCACAGATGTAGCCGAGGCGGCCGCGGACGTGGTTTTCATCCGATCTAATCTTACCGGCATTCTAACGTTGATCGAGATGAGCGAAAAGGCAATGCGCAGGATCAAGTTCAACTTTGGCTGGAGCTTTGTGTACAATGTCTTTGCGATCTTGTTGGCTGGGGGATTGTTTGAGTCCTTAGGAGGTGATGGAAAGGGGATCAGGATACCACCACAGTATGCGGGATTGGGGGAGTTGGTGAGCATATTGCCGGTTCTAGGGGGCAGTCTGACGTTGAGGTGGGCGAGGTTTGCGGGTGATGTTTCCGGGGAGGTTCATAACGGAAGAGAAGATGAGAGGTCAAGTAGAAGCAAATGGTTTCAAGGATGGAGTTCATGGCTGGAGAGGTGACGCTTCCTCGTTGAAATAGTTGGGTTTAATAGTGATTTTGGATACATGACCTCTGGGAAAAAGTAATCAGGTGTTGAGGGAAGGGTGTTGGCTAAGGTAGGTAAGGTAGGTTCGGGTTCGGGTTCTTTGGAAGCATGGGAATTTGGGAACATTCGTGAGATTCACTCTTTACCAGCCCGGGTCATGGGCTTTCTCAACAGATATTACTAGAAGGCATGCAATAATGAACAGATATTTATTGGTACGTCTCAATTCCTCGTTCATTGGTTTCCAACTCATTACTCTATAGAATGCCTCCTGGGGAAACCACCGTTGACATGTTTTAGATATGAACTGATTGATAACAGAACTGACTTCAGGGGCATCGTTAACCAGTTTTATTACATGCTTGATGTTTTTCAATAATTGTTCTCGAACATATTCACTACCAAAGGATTCGAACAATTCGAGGACCAACGCACGGACCACCCATGACCTCATCGAAGCTATTCGCGACGATCAATCTCCACGTTCTCCAAACCTCCTCCTGACAACTGACGCGCAGCAACGCGACACAGCAAAAAAAAGTCAATTCCACGCGCGCATCGCATCGCATTACAGATGACAGACACAGGCAAGGACGCCATGCCGCCAATCAAAGCCCCGCCCAATCTCCCCGAACTCGTCCGGACAGCCTTCAACAAGGCGCGCGCCTCGGGCGATGTCAACTTCTATCCCACCCAAGTAACCTTGGTGGACGTCAGTTCTATTCCTGTATGTTGGTTGGCTTCTTTTCTCTCTTCTCTTTCTCTCCTATGCCCAATATCATCCATCCTCCATCCCATCACTTTAACCTAATCCTAACCTCCCGCTAACTCTCCGTGTGTCCCAACAGTTCCAGCTCCGCTTCTCCCCCTCCCTAGCCAACAAGCCCAAAGCGCCCAAACCCGTCGGGATAATCGACCACCGCGCTCCTTCGCCGCCGTCTACTACGTCTGTCGGTACCGTGTCACCTGCCCCGGAAAAGAAACTAGTCTTCGACCCCTTCGACAACCCATCTCCCCCAATGCTCGTCTGCCCACTCCCTCCCTACCATAACCTCGTGCTGAACAAATTCGCCATCGTGCCCGAACACTTCATTTTGACGACTACCGAGTATAAGGAGCAGACGCATTTGTTGGAAAGGGAAGATTTGGAGGCGACGAGGGCGTGCATAGAAGCCTACCAACAGTACACTGGCGAAGAAGGGGGAAGGGGGGACAAGGAGGAAACCAAGCTATACGCCTTCTTCAACTGCGGTGAACACTCCGGGGCAAGCCAGCCGCATAGGCATTTACAGCTGTTGGTTGTGGACAAGATGAGGGAGGGGTTGGAGGGCTTGGAAACAACGAGAGAAGGGAGGTGGGAAGTTCTAGCGCAGCGGTTGATCGACGACACCAAGGAAACAATAACCCAAAAACTACCGTTCAAGACTTTCGCTGAGCGTTTGACGCCGGGAATGTCGGGGGAGGAACTACACGCCCTTTACCTCCGGTTATACAGACGTGCTCGTGACGCCGTCCGGCAACATCATCAGCAGTCTTCCCACCCATCACCAGCATCGCCAGGATCTCAACAATCATCCCAACAACCGGAAGACCAAAGCAACGGAGCGGATGAGATACAAACTGGCGGCGAAGCAACGATATCCTATAACCTAGCCATGACACGGGGCGTGATGGTTATTGTTCCTCGGTTGGCTGAGGGGTCGGCTATTGTTGAGAGGAAGCTAGATGGTAACGGAGAGCAAGGGGAAGAGGTGGTGGGCAAGCTAGCTCTCAACGGAACCGTGTTGGCGGGCACGGCGCTGGTTAAGAGCCAGAGGGAGTGGGATGCATTGAGGAAGAACCCGAGCAGGGTGGGGGAGCTGTTGGGTGTAATTGGGGTTCCTAATGGGCCTGAGGTGGAGGAGAGGAGAAGGAGCCCGGAGAGGAAGGGGGTGTTGTGAGGAGGAGATGGGAAGGAGGGGACAGGTGCTGGATGTCCGTTTGTTGACAAATCTCAGTACATCCGTTGGAAGAAAGAGGCGGGTGCCGGGCCTCATGCATCGTGTGTGCCGGATACCGGTTTTTTTTTGGTTTTTTTTTTAGGTTGACGACCTTCTCCGGCACTCCGGCTACGACGTCTGCACACCACACCTCTGAACAGCACAGCTGGACGACATATCATCATCTTCAGCAGTTAGCGATATCATCGATTGAACGGGCCTCTTATAATATCAACTCGATAACTGCGGCAGAGTTTTATCTATCTCTGGTCTAACGCCGGGCCGCAACCTGGCCAAGCTTCTAATATGCCCGACCGTTTGCATCCCATTTCTTCGTCTCCCGAACCGAACCCGAACCAAACCGAGCCGAGCCATGAATACCAGAAAGCGAAGGAAACCGGTAAAAGCAAACCGCTGGAATGACTGAACTCCCAAGAGTGATAGCTACTATGGTAACCGGAATGCACCGCCAGGCCTTTTGCCTAAACCCCTTTTTCCACTCCTTTCCTTTTTCCTTGGGTTGCCTTCCTGCCTTGCTGTGTATTCTGTCCTGCTAATCCTTTTCATTCCCTCCTCATTCCCATCCCATGGCGTAAATGCAAGTAATAACCGTCTCATGGCCTGCTGTCCATTTATTTCTTATGCTTCTTCTGCTTGTTTTTTTCCTTGTGTGTTCCTCCTGGCCTACTCTTTCCTCGTCAACTCCTCTCCCCTCCCTCTACCGTTGCTTTATACCACCACTGTTTAGCCTTTTTAGAATCATGCAACCTGTATGTTTGCTTACTAATCATCTGTGCATATATGTGCTTGTAGTACCTGTATCCAGCCCCTTCTGTATCGTACAAAAAAAGTGTACGGTGCCGATACAAAGGGGACTTGTACATGTACACGCCAAGCGGCCCACTTGTGTGTCTAAAAGCCTAGACAGCCATCAAGGGACGGGTGTGTAAATGGAATGAGTGGAATTGATGCGGGTAGATAGGAGAGAGGAGAGCGAGAAGAGGAACGAAGAGGAAACAGAAAGGAGAATGGAAGATCACTCCTCCATGTAATCACCATCCGAATCCTCATCATCATCCTCCTCCTCCTCTTCCTCCTCGGAGTCCAAAGCATCAGAGACGTCGTAGTCGCCATCTCCATCATTGCCGTTGCCGTTGCCATTATCCTCCTCCGCATCATCGCCAAGGGCACTCATGTCGAGCCAGTCAGAGTAGGCTAGGTTACCATCACCCTCACCATCATCCCTCTCGCTCTTCATATGAGTAGAGGTAGTGGTAGTGACAGTAGCAGCAGCCTCGTGCCTAACACCCCTCTCCTCACCTGAAGAAGGCCCAGAAACCGAGCCACGAGCCTGGCCATGAGCCTGAACCTGACGGGTAGAACCAGCCCTCGAATTGAAAGAGGAAGAGGCTGAAGCAGACCGAGACTGAGAAAGCGAGTGGTAAGGACTCCGCTTACTCCTCTGCTTCCAAAAGTCAATGTGCAGATCCTTGCCCTTGGCCAGCTCGCTGCGCATCAGCTCCTCCCACCGCTTGCGGACGGTGGCGTTGCCGAACTTGTAGGAGCCGCCGCGCTCGAAGATGTAGTGGGCTACTTGCTTCCAGGGGATTTTGGTCGTGGTTGTTGGGATGCCCCTTTGTTGACTGGGTTGGTGGGGTTGGGACTGGGATTGCGTGGTGGTGTTGGGGGATGAGGCGGAGGTGGAGGGGTCCGATGACTTGGCCTTGGACTTTGAGGCAGCGGAAGAGGTAGAGACCAAGGAGGTGATACTCATTGCCTCACCGGCCGGACCGGGGGTGGGACCTGTGGTGGAAGACGACGACGACGACGACGACGACGACGACGACGACGACGACGACGACGGGGTGGAGGACGATGTCCTGGGGTTAGAGTAAGTAACGCTCAACGGCCCCTTGGCTAGGGTGCGAACGGCTTGTTCGAGGAGACGTAACTGTTTCATCACACTTGTCAGCACTTTTCTATCACCATCTCTTATTATTCACCACCACCACCACCACCACCACCGCACCACAGAAATTGCATTACCACCAGCACCGAGAAAATGGGGAATAAATACTCACATCTTTATCAGTCCACTCCGGCTTCCGAACTCTCTCCTCCCTACTCTTTGTCAAAGTCCTGTACCGTCCTCTCAGCGTCGACTCCGCCTCCGTGAACCGACCAATCTGCGCGATCTGCTTGTACGACTTTCCTTGCTTGCGAAGACGAACCAGCAGCGCGTCTTGTTCGGCTCTCTGGCGCTTGAGGTGGTCGGTTGCTGTGACGGGGAGACCCCCTTGGGCGCGACGCTTGGTACTACTGGAGGAGGGGCCGGAAGATGGGTGGTACGGGTGGGCGCCGTGGTTTTGGGTGTGGTGGAAGGGTTGTTGGTGGCTGCGACGGGGGTGGGACATGGACGCGAGGTGCCCCTGCTGGGGGTGGTTGGCGTGGGAGGGGATGGTGTTGGGTTTCATCATCAACTGGTGATGATGGGGAAGACCGTGAGGCTGGTTTTGACGATGTCCCCAGTGCATGGACATGGAAGGAGAGTTGGGGTGGGAAGGAAGCATCTCTCTCGTGGCCATCACAGCGGGGTTATAGCGAGGGGAAGGCGGGCGGCCGCCACCGCCGCCCATCCGATGAGGAGGGCTGTGAGGGAGGGACTTGCGCTGTGTCTGTGCCCGGCTTTGTTGTTTTTGTTGTTGTTGCTGGACGTAATGGGGATGGAGTTGGCTGGTGTTGATGTGACTATTGCCGAACTGAGCGTTGTTGCTGACGCCAAAGTCAATGGGCAAGGGCATCTGGTTGTTCTGGTGGAAGAAGCTGTGGTCGCCGAGAGGGGAGGAGTCAGGCGATGGATGAGGCGTCGGCGTCTTGTGGTGCTGATGTTGTTGATGGCTGTTGTTCAACCAAAGCGAGCCGGGCGAGACGGACAGTGGTCCCTCGGCCTTCATGTCCTGATCAAAGTGTGTAGGACCCGAAGCCGATGATGGGTAATCAAATACCGTGCGGTTAGAGATGGGGCCTCGGAAGAGGATATCACCACCGCCACCACCGCCACCACCGCCGCCGCCGATGGTGCCAGAAGAGGGGGAGGAAGACGGATGATGGGTATGTGAGAAGTTACTACCGCTTCCATCAAACGAAACGCCGCCCGACGCCAGCTGGCCGCCGTTGAGCATGACTGATGGGAACTGGCCCTGCTGCTGAAGCTGAAGTGAGACACCGCCGACAGAACGTCCAAAGCTGCTGCGCGTAGGGCTGGGAAGGCCGTCACAGAGAACTGAGGGGTGACTAGTCGCATCAAATGGGTTAATGGGGCTTGATGGCATGTTGGTAGAGGACATGCCTCCATCAGACATGTTGTCGAATGCAGACGATGACGAAAACCGAGGTTCATCAAACATTGGCTCAGCAGCAGAGACAGCGGAGTACTGGTGTAGGTTGTGCCACCTTGGTTCAGCTTGTTGATGGGAAGCAAACGAGGGTGAAGCCGAGGTGATGGATGGTTGCGACGACGATGGCCAGACTACGAAATCTGACATGTTGGCAGTTTGTTGTTGCTGCTGAGAAGGGGCACTGCCGGCATTGTTGAAGAGACCAGAGGTGTCTGTCTCAACAGATCCTTGGAAACTCGACAAGTGAGGGGGGAGATCTGCTGGCTGTTGTTGCTGATTCTGCTGACCCTGACCGGGATAAGCAGACATGCTGCTGCTGCTGCGATGAGAGGTGGCGGTAGTGGTTGCGGTGCCAGTGGTATCCGAAAGGTCCATGTAGCTCCCTTGGATCTGTTGCTGTTGGAAGTAATCTCTGATCAGTAACATGTTCGATATTGGTTTGTTTGTAAATGAACAAGTGAACAAAGAAAAAGGGAAGAGTGGAAGGGAAGATGGAGAAACAAAACAGAAACAAAACAAAACAAAACAGAGACAGAAACAGAGACAAGACAGAAGGAGAAGAGAGAAAAAGACTCCACACATACCGGAGCGGGAGACGAACCCCAGCTTGCGTCACTCGTGGGAGAAAAGGACTGTGCGTCATTACTGGTACTTGGGTTGCTGCTCTCGGTGGTGGAAGGCCGATGGAAGCTGCTGTTGCTGCTGTTGGCTTCCTGTTGGCGACACGTCTCGTACTCTGGAGATGATTCGCTCCATGTGGCGCCCACAGACGGCGAACAGCTCGCAGACATGGTGGAGGAGTCAAAGGACATGTTGAAGTGGGAAGGGGAAGTCATCATGTCCATGTCCATGCCCATGTCTAGGTGAGGAGTCGAAGACGTGGGGTCAAACTGATGAGGATTGTGATTATGATGGAAGTTGTGAATGGAAGTGGCAGAGGCGTTGTTGTTGTTGTTGTTGTTGTTGGAGTTGGCTTGTGCCGTTTGGCCACAGAAGTCTTTTAGATTGTTCACGGATTTGTTCCACTCGTGGTTGTCAAGGTTGTCAAAACCGTTGTGAAGAAGAGGTGGAAAGCCGGCTGTGGTAGCAGTTGCGGATCTGGGAGCTGGTTCGAGGAAATTATTGCGCCAAACCAATTCGTCGGTTTCCTCCATGTCTTGTTGAGAGGGTTTCAGGTTACTGATAAACATCTCTTCGTGGGCTGTCGCCTTCTCTCTCAGTGGAAGGAAAGAAAGTCGGCGGCGGTGAGTTTGGGTTGCCTTTTCCAAGCAAGCCTGTTCCTTACGTCTGTCTGTTCTCTGCCCGTCGTCCAGGTCCTTGATGCGATGGTGGCCAGACAGACCAGTCGGGTGTGCGAGCGATTCTCACCACACAACTGCGGTCAAAGTTCTCTCGATAGTATCTCTCCGTAGAGGTACGGATACCTTCGATTATTTCTCCTCAATTCTTCTTCGTCTTCTCAATCTTCACCGCTGCTCTGCGCCTCTTGCGTGGCACTTGTCTTGCGCCAAAGGCTGTTCTGCTGTTCTCCGGGTCGGTGGAGGAGGATACCCCGCAACGATGCCGCTGTGGATGTGGTGTGGTGATGCGGGAAGGGATCTGGAGAGTTCAAGAAACTCCTCTTCCTTGCTTGCTGCTGCCTGACAACAACGGTCAAGAATTGGTCGGGCTCGTGCGGATGTGGTGCGGCCAGATCTGGTGGGATATTTTCTGGTTCGTCATGCAAGAATTAAGTTGGCAGCCGAGGACGAACTTTCCAGGTTCTCTGGGTGGATGGATGCCTTGGGACTCTAACCACCTGTTCCTTTCACAGGGTTGGATATGCTTGGCACAAAGTTGCTGGCTGCGGTGTTGGGGAGATGGAAAGGCGGGTGCCGGTGCGCGGGATGCTCCCAAGGTTTAGTGAATAGGAATCTCAGATGACAGGTGAGTGTCGGAGTTCGGCGACTGGAGGGTCGAGGTATGTGCTCGGTAGATCCGAAAAGAGACGATGGAGAGTGTGACAATTGCAATATGACAGAACAAGGGGAGAAAGAAGTGGAGGTGGCTATTCCTGATGGAAGTCTGAATGATGGTTCACCACGTTTCAAGTGTCTCGGACTGGAACAACAGATATACGGGGTCGGTGATATCAAGTTATCTAAGTATTATTCTGATATCTCTTCGTCGACGAGTGCCTGTCTTCCCCGCAAGCTACCTACTACATGGCGCCAGGAGTGGGTATCAAGGGGCGCATTGTTTTGCCTAGTGTCCATCCCCCATTCTGTCATCCCATCTCTAGCACCGGGAGATTATGATGGAGCCTGATGGTGGTTGAGGCAGGTGAAGGGCGGCGACTCTGCTCATTGGGGATGGTGGATTTCCTAGATGGGATGACAGATCCCTCCTTTCCGTTGAATGGAGCAAGTTCCAATTTCTTATTCTTCTCGTTCATGAAATGAGCTCACGAGGAAAACATTCGGGCCGCATATCTTCTAGGCCAATTTTCGAGTCCGGCCAGGGCCCGCGAGAGAGCTATCATATCTCACGGCTTCTATCAAGTGACAGGAGGCTCAACTGGACGGAGAGAACGTGACCATTGCCTTTCCTGGTCTCGGCTTTCGGTTTGCAGCCCCATCAGCAGCCCGGTGGCGAGCAGGGCCGTAGTCCTGGCTACCCGTGCCTGCCCGCAACTTTGCCGTGACTATACCGTGGAACGGGGAAAGACGATTCCGGCTAGCCACGCTCAGGAAGGGCCACCATATGGCCTCGACTCCCACCTGCTCTTTGGCGACTGGCCGGTCTCCTGTTTGAGTCTGAGCTTCTTGAGATGTCAACTCTGCAGTGGGCCCCGGGGACCAGGGCAGCATGGGAGTAGGAGTTACTAGTCTGGGGAGATGATGAGCAGAAGATGCAAACAGTGCAGCCTCTTTCCCCCGGCAGAATGCAGGAGTACATACCGTGTACGTGATGAATATTCGGCCAACCACTTTTCACCCTCAAGAACTCCCACAGCTGTCATTGATGCTACCCCCACGTTAGAGGTACTGTTGGGTACTTGCAAGACAGACAGGCGGGAATCGGGAACCCGTAGAGATGGGGAAGATCGATGATCTACCACGGCGTTGGGCATATTGCATCCACTAGAAAGGCCTGGCTCCGGCCTATCGTCTGCAACGAGGTAGCATCCAAAAAGCATGCCCTGCAATTAGGGCCAAGTGTCGTCTTATTGGGTGGACGTCAATTTGTGGATGACGCTGATATGCAGCTGCCATGCCAGGATACGACGTGGCCAAGGAGGGGAATTGAGGAATGAGAGAGGGGCTCGGGGGGTTTGTTTTGATTGTTGACTTTTTAGACAAGTAAACAACGGCATCAGGAGAAGGAAAACCCTTTGCAGAGACTAGCAGGAGCTGTGCAGTAGGCTAGTCTCTTAAACTAGTAGGAAGCATGGAAATATTGCTCGGTCATAGCACTAAGCAGACGGGTTTTCAGTAGCAAACAAGTGATATCAGATAGCTCGTGGGGATCTTCCTGCGGCTTCCTCTTAGCTCACTTGTCAATAATAGCCAAACAAGGGACATGTCTCTTTTTTTCGCCTCACGGACCTTGCCGAGCTTTCCATGAGGCCGGCGACGACCAGCACGACTGCTCTTTCGAATTGGGAACGCCGTGCATGCCTCGGCTCGGCGGGAACCATCCGCTTCAACGGCATCAAACCATGAGTGGGAATTCTATGCTGCCGATTCGTCGCGTGTTTTGCTTGTTGAACGTTGGGCAATATTTGATACCGAATTCCTGGAATCTGGGAGTTGCGACGGCTCGCACAAAGTTTCCTCTTCCTTGTAATTGGCACACTATTGTACCGGTGGGTAATTGGCAAATGAAAAGCATCAGATGAAATGCTTGGATAGGCAGGCTAGTAGCTACTGTCTGGCATGAGCGGGATTGTCATACACAAGGCCTGAATATGACGTTGAAGGAAGAATTCCACTCGGGATAAAGTAGACGGGACGGGCAAATTGTGTTGCCAGCCTTGTTATTGTTGCGCAGCCTTCATCACCATCTGGTCTGATACCTTCTTCGGACTTGATACGCCGGTTTCATATCCGAGAAGTTGGCCTTCTTGAGCCTCTTCACCGGGAGGCCGTGGGGGTGAATCATGTAGATGGGTACATCGGTCCCGGTTCATGCTCGTAATAATTGTCGTTTGATGTGTGTTGTCATTGCCGTTATGATCATCTGGACTCGAAATTTGACATGTTGCAAAACCAACTGTCAACCAACTGCTCAACCCCCGTGGAGCATCTCGGAACTTCCTTCCCCTTCCCCCTTCCCCGCGCCGTGCCCGTCTCTTTTTGCCTTCCTTCCAAGACAGCCGCAAATGCGCGAAATCCATCATCGACCCATATCATGCAAACCCCTGCGGGAGATTTACTGCTTATGGAATCCGGGCCACCAGTTCCTTCCTCATCTTTCCACCTGTTGCGGTTCCCACGGCCACGATGCTCCTGCCACCCTGCTCGTCAACAACAAACTTGATAGGCCCAGCGGGGATCTCGCCGCGGAGTGTTCCCTCCCACTTGATGGCTTGCGCAATGACAGGGCAAAGTTGCGTGGCAAAATCCACCGGCTTGATGTTGAGTCTCCCGCCATACTGGGTGGGGATATTCTCAATATCAATCGTCTCTCTCAGTGTGGGCATTACATCTTCTTTCTGCACAATGATCAACTTCTCTGCCGTTCACTGGTCGACAAACTTGTTCAACAAACCCCAGATTTTGGAGAAAGATGACAAGGTATTGAGGACCTTTCGTTCCATCGTGTCAGCAAAAGAAAAGAAACAATCATCATGGTAACAGGCACCCAATGTCAAATATCAAAATGCATGCGACAACTCACATAAACCCTAGCCACAACCTCGGGATAGCAAGTCGCCAACAGCTTGCTGATATCCTGGGCATACGCCCGCACGTTCCACGCCTGTTTGAAGGTGAAGCTGGCAATATCGACAAGATAAACTGCGCTCGTCAGGGGTACTTCGACAGGTTCTGGCTGGTCTCGCATGGCCGAGCACAGGGGAAGCACAAAACGAGCCAGATAATCATGAACCAAAATGACCCGTCGCGCCGGTCCTTGCCGTAGCTCGTCGTGGTGACTGTGTCGAGAGAGGCGATATCAAAGATGCAAATGGGTAGGCCGCGTTTGTCCCGTCGGCCGGACCAGTGAGGGTACTGCGGTAGACGGAGATTGAGAAGGATTAGCTTGGCTTCGCTTTCACGCCCGTTCGTTTCCAAGATTTTCTTCATCTTATTGCTCATCTGCTCATCTTGATAAAGGGTCGCTGGGTCTGGTCGTACGTACCATGCTCTTGGTATTTTCAAAGTCATTGATGCTGATAGTGTCGTACGCGGCTGTTGCATCGACTGAGGAGCGGATCTCTCGCGCTTTCTCGAACTGCTGGAGAGCTCCATCTACGTCGAAAGAACGTCCACGAAGGAACTTCCTGCATTGTTGTCAGTTTTGTTGTTCATGTTGGTGAAAGAGCTTCAAAGTAGTTGTGAAGACGGGATGAAAGCGGGTAAAGACCTACAGAAACGTTGTTTCATCGTTCAGACCATCCCGAACGTCTTCGTTTGAGAGGCTTACCGGGTGGTCAAGGTATCCCCGGCTGCGGCAGAGCTCCAGTAATGCGTCAAAGGACGCCTGCTCTTTCTCAGTAGGTCCCAATGCAAGGGGGGACCTGATAGGATTCTGTATTTCCATGGCTCTTGTGTGCTAAGGTTGAGCAAATCTCAGATTTCGATCATGATCCTTTCTTTGACCATGAGAGGTCCAGGTGGGTACAATCCTCTAGTTATCAACCTCTCCCATTGATAAGAAGCCCATGGCCTCACTTTCCATCAACTGCAACTCTCCCTCTTCTCCCTCCAACTTTGGGCATGTCTCAGGGGGACGTCACAGACTGCTTTACGCAGGGAAGACAAGGTGATCCAAGACCATTTCCCACTCCCAGTCGCCGATCCGGCATCATTCAGGACAATGATGGAGCATTCCGAGCCCATGGTAAAGATAAGCGTGCCATTGTGTCACGTAGCACACTGTGGCATTCCAACTCGCGTAGGCAAGTATCGGCATCCTCCATCGAGTGATGTAAATGGGGGAACTTTCCGGCATCCCGGGCAACCTTTTTAGGTCGTCGATAGTTGTTGTTAGTGCTAGACTGTCAGTGGCTTAATCCCATTGTGGGTCCAGGTTCTGCGCTTTCTTAGTTGCTCGTTCGCTCTTTCGAAATCGAATCGCTCATCCAAACCCAGATTCTGACATTGCGACTCGGCGCTGAATGGTGAATTCCGAATAGCGTCAATCTTTCCACAAACCCCAATTAGGCATGCCCCAATAGCCCAAAACGGAAAATGTCATTTCATCATTGCGCTGGACCAGAAACTGAAATCGGCATCATACATTACCATCATCACCCACAACAAAAATAGTTCCGCCCTACTACAAGAGAACCCAAGTCGTCAGTCAGGTCCAGGTCAATCATGACAGGTCCCGGAAGTGAGGAAAACCCGGCTGGCGATCCTATGATCGACGCAGACCTGTTACCCTACCATCCAGGAGAAGGATCAGCCAGTCCATAGTAAGTTCCATTCCAGTGTTACGGTACCCTATACCTAGGTAAGTACGAGTGACGATGGGATTGTGTCGTCGAGATGTCCAAAAAATCGTATAAGGCAGATAGATAGATGGGTAGTGCTTGGCAAAACCCAAAAGCCATCAAGTATAAAAACAAATCCTGAAGCAAGTGCGAACCCGGTAATAGAAGAAAGAGATAAAAGACGCCAAACAAAAACCCCCCAAAAAAACCAAATGATTCCTACCGACGCAGTTGACCTAGCCGACATCGACCACCTCCTCCCCTTACTAGCAATCTCCCTCACCCTCATCAGAAAATCATGGATATGTTGGACGGCCATACTTCAGAGCTCATCGGCCTCTCTCGATACGACACCCACGGATTCCTCAGTCCTGGCGGCTATACCCTAAGAAGACACAAGGCCGAGACACTCGCCAACGCCGGCTGTTATGAGGCGCGACAGGACTGGATCCAGTATATTGGGGCGGCCGCGGAGGAGTTTGGCAACTGTAACCCCGTCAACGGGAACTTCACTGCCGTAGTCCTGCCCTTGGCTAAGCCTGAGCGGTTGCGGCTGGTGGCGTATATACTCGAGTATGCGTTTTTGCATGATAATATTGTTGAGGTTGCGAAGGATAATGCTTCGGTGAGTCTCTTCCCTTCCTCTCACTCACTCAAAAGAGTTTGTAAGAGCAATACTGACGATGCATGAACCAGTCATCGAAAGACAACGACGCCTTCAGCCTAGGCGACATGGAAACCTCCCACCAAAACGCCAAACTCGGCCGAAAACAGATCCAAGCAAAGATGATACTCCAGCTCACCCAGACTGACCCCGTCTGCGCCAAGCGCGTCATGGGCGTCTGGCAACAGATGCTGGAAACCACCATCAAAGATAAATCCAAGTCGTTTGCTAATCTCGAGGAATATCTCGAGTTTCGAATCATTGATACCGGCGCACCGTAGGCCACCCCCTTCCCTTTCTCCGTGTTCCTCTTCATTCTCATGAGAGCCAACTAACACCGCCTCCATCCAGATTCGTCGAATCAGTCATGCTCTTCGGCCTAGGCGAAACCCTAACAAAAGAAGAAGACTCCCTCCTCGCCCCCATCATCCGTCCTTGCTATGCCTCGCTAGCTCTCGCAAACGATTACTTTTCTTTCCACCGTGAATGGGCCGAATACCAGTCCGCCCAATCCTCTTCCTCTTCCTCCCCTGACGCCCCCAGCGCAGCACCAGCAGCACCCATAAACCTCGTCTACCTCTACACACAATGGCAATCCGTCGACATCCCCACCGCCAAGCGACTCGTTCGCGAGGCCGCTAACCGTTTTGAAGCGGATTTCTTGCGCAAATGTGAAGACTTCAAGAAGAGTGGACAGTCTAATGACAAGTTGGATCGCTACCTGAGAGGACTGCAGTACCAAGTCAGCGGCAACGTGGTCTGGAGTCTGAACTGTCCTAGGTATCATCCCGAGTGGAGGTATGATCCCAATAAGGGCTTGGAGGATGCGTTGACGGCTGAGAGGAGGAATCCGCCTTTTGTTGAACAGGTTGAGGATGTTGACGCCTCCGTTTCGGACAAGGAGGCGGCGACGAAAAGAATGTCGATTGCATCAGGGGGATCGAGGGAGAATGATTCAGATGTCTCGACTACTTCTTCTTCGTGGGACGACAGGGCGGCCAGCAGGTCGTCAAGTTTTTCGGCTATGTTGGATGATGACGAGAGTGGTATGAGGGAGTTCAAGGAGGCGCAGAGGGAGTTATCGTTGGACTCATTGCTCCCGAGTGAGGAAAAGTTGGGCATGGAGATCGTTAATGCACCTTTTGAGTACACGAGGTTGATGCCGTCGAAGAATGTCAGGGGGACGTTCATTGATGCGCTGAACTTATGGGCAGGTTTGTCGGAGGAGGTGTTGGGGCAGATTAAGGAGGTTGTTGACGACCTTCATACTGCGTCGTTGATGTAAGTTCATCCTGACAACCGTCTTGGGGGAACGTCTGCTAATCCTGTTGTTCACAGGTTCGACGACGTCGAAGATGGTTCCGAGCTCAGACGTGGTAACCCAGCAGCACACGCCGTGTACGGCATTCCCCAGACCATCAACTCTGCCAGCCTGGCAATTCTCGAGGCCGTACAAAAGGCGAAGGACTTGCCCATCCCTGGCGCTGTTGACATTGCCTTGGAGCAACTCCGCGATCTCCATGTCGGCCAAAGTTACGACCTCTACTGGACGAGACACATGACCTGTCCTTCAGAGAGCGAGTACCTGGAAATGGTAGCAAAGAGTCAGTAATCCCTTTCCTTATTTGTTCTTGTTGCCACTCACTGACATTTCGTTCAGAAACCGGCGGTCTCTTCCTCCTCCTCTCTCGCCTAATGAGCGAGCACATGCCGAAGGAAGTCCGCTCCCTCGTCAATGATCTCGTCACTCAAGTAGGCATCTACTTTCAAATCCGCGACGATTATCAGAATCTCAGTTCTGATGAGGTAAGCTTCCCTCCCCACCTCTTTTCTCTCCTTCTCTCCTTCTCTCCTTCTCTCCTTCTCTCCTTCTCTCCTTCTCTCCTTCTCTCCTTCTCTCCTTCTCTCCTTCTCTCCTTCCTGTACCCCAAGCTAACACAAACCTCAGTACACCGCCCAAAAAGGCTTCTGCGAAGACCTCGACGAAGGCAAGCTCTCCTTCCCACTCGTGCACTACCTCAACACAGAGCGAGGTTCCTCCAACTCGCAACAAGTCCGCGAGGTGCTCCAAGAGCGACAACTGCGGGGTTCGTTGAGTATGCCGCTAAAGCTGCTCACGCTGCAGCGGCTGAAGAGCTCGAATAGCTTGGAGTATACGAGAGACAGTCTAATGCGGCTGGAAAGGGGCGTGGATGGCACGATTGAAGAGCTGGAGAGGTCGACGGGGAAGAAGAATTGGGTTTTGAGGATGTGTATGGCTAAGTTGAGTGTTTAAAGCGGTGGCGTCTTGGCGTTGACAGCGATGACTTGATGACTTGATGATAATATCCTTATAAGCTCTTGAGATGTACAGGGTTCCTCAAGGATTAGGATGAATGGTGGACGTTGAAATAGAGTTAAGGGCTGAATGGTGCAATTTCGCTAAGCAAGGCGATCCTTGTTCCCTAGTTTCCTTCGTTGTTGACGGGCAAAGTGGTAGGTAAACTACTCATCTGGTTGAGCGTATTCGCAGACGGGTCACTTGCAACGTTACTAAAGCCGGCATAGGTAAAAAAAAATATGGTTCATAGTTAGCTTACGGGAAAGGCCACGGACACATCGATGCAACTGACCATGGTTGTTTCATTCCTGAATGACAAAACATCCTGGTCCACACTTGCCGTCAATGGTACCCTTTGTTGTTGAGCTAAGTGACTGTGGAGTGTATTCAAGTTTCGTGGGCGACTTCTTTAGTGGGATGGGCTTGAGGAAGCCAGAATTCCAGGCCAAATGAGATCCTAAGTGGTATCCTCTCCCGCTTGCATCTCCATGGGGCTAGAACCGGCGCAAGGTATCCTGGAGGGGGCGCAGAGTTGTTCACTTTTCTGAGGTCGTTGAGCGCGACGAATAAGTCGTCAATGTCATTTTCATTAGGTCTACTCCTGGGTCCAATCGGGTAGCCATTGTAGGTCTTGGGGTAATCGTTCAGTCATGCATAATCATAATCAAAAGTTCGAGTCGTTCGGGCCGTTCCAGCAGAAGCGTTTGGATTTAGTTTTTCAATCGATGAGTACTTTATGAAGCGCACAAGTCGTTGCCCAGAGGGTGCGTATTCCGTGGAGACTTGATCTTCTGACACTCTTATTCGTGAGTCGATCGATAATTTTGGACCTTGCGATGATTTGACGTATTGATTCTTCCAGGTCCGCATGATTACCGGATGTGACGATCCGTGCAACCCGCCAGAAAAGGTCTCTGTCGCCGGACATGGCAGCGTAACTCAGTAACCTCCCGGATTTGTCGACTGTGAGGTTATTGGGTTTTGCACTGGGGTGCCGGATGATGTGTTTGAGTAGGTGTAATCGACGACTTTGGACCGCTTGCATGATCTCGTCGTTGCCAATCAAAAAATTGGCATCTTCCCATTCCAGTATTGCACCAAACGTGCGGTTAAAATCCACCTTGCTTGATATGATCCATGACACGGGAGATCGGGCTGGAACAAGTGTGATATCCTTCAAATCGTATAGTGTCTTGATATCCCCGGCTTCTGGCAGAAGAGCTGCCGCGGTTGCGTCAACATGGGTTTGCAGCGCCCAGCCCAGAATGTAGTCTGGAAGCTTCGGTAGGATACGAAGAAAAGTAGGAAAGTCCATGTTCTCGGGCAATGGACGGGCAGACGGCTGATAAGTCTCGTCGAAGAGTAAGAATGAGATGGTGTGGCATATTGCGTGACCCAGCGAGACATGGTAGTTCGGACAAAGCGTGTTGCTGACGCGAGCGTCTGAAGCAATGCCAAGCAAGGCATAGATGCTGTCTCGGTGATCACTCGCTTCGCTCGTTCCGAACTTGAGAAGAAGCGTCTCAAGGTTTTGCTTTTCACCCCACCAGGTCTCTTTCCTGCGGTAGCCTGGAAGGATGTCAAGGACAGCTTGGGTATGAGAATCCGGTTCTAATTGCAGTAAGAATGGCAATAGACCGAAACCTCGGCTGGGTATCTCTTTTGAGCCGCATAGTATTGTAGCCCTTGTTGCGCTGGCGACCTCCTGAAGGATTCAGACTCTCCAAAACCAGGGTCGGTTCAGCATCTCTTGCAAGGAGCTCCGAAGCCCAGAAGTAAGCACATCTTTGAACGGACTGGTCACATCAGTAGTGAGCCAGATCCAGGAATCGATCCAACCCTGTGCGCGGTCAGCTCCTGGTCGTTGCCTTGTTCGATGATCCCACCGCCCAGCCAGATCCATGAGGTGATCAATTCCGCGGTTGCTGGGACCGAGCCAAATGACGACTTGTTTAGCACACTCATAAATGAGTCTCATTTGTCCAACTTGGTGGCCTTTTTCCCTATCATTGCTCTGGTCGATGCAAATGGCGTCAATCCACAACACGCTATCCCTGCCTCGCTGCCGTAGAGCGAGGAGGGCCATGTAAAGGTTTTCCTTGACGAGCACCTTTCGACCATTGATGAGAACCTCATATTCGTCAGGAGAGTCGCCCCAGGTATATGACAAGGCTTCATACGGCACGCCTTCTATCTGGTCGAGGAATGTTTCGAAGAGTTCGCATCGTATTTGTTCGCCTTGATCTCCTTTCAAAAGACGCACAAGTCGAATAGCATCGGTAAATAGGTTGATGGGCTGGTACTTGAAATATCCCTCTCCGCTGATCATTTTGGATGGCTTTAGGGGGGCGAGTTCTGACTCCAGCCCAGAGTGTCACAGGTTGGCATTGGCTACATAGTGTGCATTCCGGCAAGCAGAACATCGTCCTATCTTTTGTAGGTTTGGCCGTCTGGGCATATGCACCTAGCCTGTCATATTAAAGCTCTTAAATAAGTTCCTCGTTTATTTTACGTAGAATAGTTCCAATATCGTCTTTGAAGGGCGCTATTGCAGCTATTTCAAAGGGTAAAATAGGGCCCTCTTCAAAAAAGTAGAAAGTCATAATAACCGTATCAGTATTTTAATAACAAGTTAGAATACCTGTAACGAACGGCAGTCTGATCT